TGTTTGTTCAGTTTCTTTTTCAAATATTGAAAACTCTAAAGAGCTCATTCCAATTTTCAAGCAGGGTTGACGCCTGTTTCTAATGAGCATGAATTTGCGGTGGGAAATCCAATACCAGAGTCCATCTATCCGAGCAGTGTTTTTTCCGAACGAGATGAAATTTGAGCGATTTGTTCTTTCGTACTCACTGTGATCGACCTCTTCCAAAGAGGATTAAGTTTCACGAAAACTTTTCTTAAGCTCCTTTAGGAATTCGACACATACCGAAATCTCTATCGTATTGTCTTAGCTTTCCAATGCAGACCATTGTGTTTAAACCAATAGGCTCATTCAAAAGTTATGTGACTCTAACATTGTGTGACGTCACCTTTGCATTTTCATTTTAAGCACCAGATAAATGTTTTTTGTTTTTACTCACTATGGCAATTTAAAACGAACAAAAGGCAGAATTGCGAAAATTTACTTTTTGTATTTAATCGATTCTTTAAACGAAACAAAGATATGGAAATTTGTCTTTATACGTATTTGTACGATATACCAAATTTTTTAAGCCTTAAAAGTCACTTAAATTTTATTCAAATCTATTCAAACCGGTTATTATTCTGTCTGTAATTTATATTCGAAATCAACTTTATACTTTGTTTCCGCTTTCGAACAAAGAAACAATCGAAACTACTTTTTAAAGAATATATGTATGTTTTCATGCGAACTTTCCTTTGGCAAAAATTAGACCGACTGTCTAATTGTTACGCCTTTTGATTAATCACGACACAAATTTGTCTATGTTAACAATAAAACCAAGTGTTTAATTTGCTAAGCGCCTTTGATTGATCACACAAATTTTCAACAAAATGTTTTTCTTTTTCTTTCTTTTAAAATTTATTCCGTCGGGGTTCACAAATGTTTATTTCTTGTGCAAGCACGTCAATGTGCATACCGAACTGAGTTGAAAATTGCTCTTGCAAAGTCGAAAACGAAAATACAAAACCAACTTGAAGATTGCGTGAACTTTCGATTGATTTTGCTTGCAAGTACTAAGAACGATATTACTCTCTTGACAAAAGCGAAAGAAAACCGAACGATAAAGATGTTGACATAAGTTATTTTATGATAAGTTATTTGCAAAAATATTAATGTATTAGGTTGAGTCTACATATGCCAAACGTAACTGGTTTATATAGGCAAATGTGCCACTAACACAGTTACCGTGAAAAATAAGCATTTCCTTAACCAAAAGATTTAATTATTACTACTTTAAAATGAGAACACGTGGTATGGAAATTAATATGACACAATTTCAATTATCTGATTCAATATATTGGACCACCATCCATGTAGAGATCCTGGAAACCATCCTTTTTTTTTTTTTGTATACGCAAAAAATAAATGAATGGTTTCATTAAGCGAGTAGGTGCGGGATATTTAACAAATGGTTTTGCCAGAGTAGAATTCTCTTACTTATTTTTGAGTATTTATGGTATTTTAGAGCAATTGAACTTTTAGGCATATAATCAAACAAAATCTTCCCAACGCGTACAATCGTTTTCTACGTAAAACCGCTGCACAACATCATCGTTTGTATATACTTTCTTTCTTATATTGTTTCGCTTCTAATACTATTCCGTCTCAAGGAATTTATGTCCACTATTGGTAAAGTAAATATTATGCAAATGAAAAAATGCAAAGAAAAGGTTAAAAAATCTGAACGAAATAACGTAGGAAGAGAATGAAAAGCACAGTTCATATGGAGTCTGTTTTTACCGCCTTCTTGTCAATAACGGATTTTCTACAAACTTTTCTAGTTGGTTATTCGATATAAAAATAAAATATGTAGTAATAATAATTTTTGACATATAATATCTTTTTTAATGTATACAAACATTTACTGGAGTGCCTGTTAAACCTATCCGACACTATTTTCGTCTTAGTACATGATATTCTACTGCAATAGGACAGAGATACAAAAGGATAGGAGGATAGGAAGAAAGAGAGAAAAAGAGAATAGCGCAGAAAATAAGTATATTAAACTTTTTAGCCAGTTTCTCAGTTTCTAAGTTGGGTCCTTAGGCTGAGTTTCTGTTTTCAATAGAAAAAATTAACACATTTTCAAAAAAAAATTTTTTCTTTTTTATTTATAGAAATTAAACAAAACAAATTCTTACTTAAATAAAGCTCTAATTATAAGATCGATATAAATAATAAACACACACATATATAAATAAATAAACACACAAGAGAAAAACGGTAAAAAAATATCGGCATCGGGCCGCTGCCTATGTGCTGCTACTAGTAAGTACTCTGTTGATAATGACGACCAAAAAAGTTGTTGTAGGGATGACCGATGATGGATTTATTAGCATTTTTGTATATATATATTATTTATTGAACAATGTGTATCTCCACACCCTACCATTTGAAAACTTTGCACATTTGTCCAATTGATCTTTTCTTTCGAGTCATCATTTTATTTATTGATTTATTGACGCTTATGTAACCTCGAAGCCATTAAGGCATGTTATAATATATTAGAACCATTAGCATAGGTGTAATAATAAACAACACAACACAGTAAAACAACACAAACTGTCCTTAAAAAATCTCTAAGAAAAGAAACAAAACTTCAAGGAAAAGAGGACAAAAAAAATAAAACAGGAAAATAGAATAAAAAATTAAAAAGCACCCCGAACTCTGAAGGTAATTATGAAGCGGAATAACGCATATCGCAACCACACTACCATCCCAACAGTAAATAACTAGCTAATCTCATTATTAGTGACTAATAATGAAAGCTTTCCTAACTCGAGAGATCAACAGAAGGCTCTTTCAGCTCCTGCCGTAGAATAATGTTATAGAATTTAAGACGTCTAACTTTAAATGGTTGTTGAAAAAATTATGATTGATGGCATCAACCTCAGCTTAAATCCTCAGTATCCAAATTGGCGTAATTTTGCACCACAATAATTTATTGTTTCAATATCTGAAAGTTAGCAAGTGCGCATTTCTCCTGCATTTTGTAATAACATATTTGCCTTTATTACTTTGTGCACAATAGGTCCTCCAATTATCATCATTCTTTTCACATAAATAAGGCTTGTAAACTCGATTACGCAGAAAGAGATGAAATGTGTTTTCACTACGATTACACCAAGACTCACAGCAGCCCCTCATTCTACTTTGGGTCTTTATATTAAAATTTTACCAATATATTTTCAACAAATTCCTTTATTTCATACAAATTTATCGCAGCGGACAATATTTTACTTCAATTGCACTAGCGTTGCCAACGTTTTATTATCACAAAAACAAAAAAAAATAAAAAATAAAAGTGAAACCGATCAAGCCTATTTTGCCTATTCAATGCAGCAAATTTAAAAATCTTAGTACAACCTTTTTTATACTCCTGAGTTTATTTCTCAATGTTTTGTAATAATTGTTATTATCTATTTTCAGTTAAGTTATTAATCTTCACTTTTGCCTTAATATTTACATCTTTGGGAGATGAAAAATTTTGTAACGAAAGCCACACAAATCTAAAAAAAGAATTTTAATTCGTTTACCTCCTGCTGTAAATATCGTGTTCGTTACCGCCGTCATTTTCTGTGTTGTTGCTATTGCTTCAGTAACAATATTGGTGATACCTCAGAGCACAGAAGATTTTGTCCCTTCGTTTCTTTCTCAACAACTTGCTCAAACATTATTATTATGAAAGATTTTCTTCCATTTCACCCGTTTATTTTACATGCCATAGTGCTTCTTAATATTGTAACTATGTATTTGCCTAGGTTGACCAAGAACACTTATAAATTTTGTTGTTTAAATTAAACCATTTTAAGCAGATGATCACAAATAAGATCTATGATCAGGTGATTAAACACAACTCTTATAAAAGGACGCTTATAAATTGTCGATTTTCAACGTTATTTATGTCATGGACACTTTGTTGCTCTCTCTTTTTTTTGTTTTCAAATAAATGCTAATTTCTTTTCATTTTTAGCATTGTCATGTGCGGTTTTAAGAACCTTTCTCAGAAATAAGCCAAGATTACCCATAAAACAATTGCACTATGTTTAGCTTTTCCCAAATCAAATTTTATACATAACTACTTGATTAGGTTTAAACATTTTTTACGCAAATCTTAAAAAAGCTTACACTTAATCTACAATCTACAAATCAAGCAAAAATCTTTATTGTTCATCTCCATATTTTCATTCGTTAATCAAACTCTCCTTCATTTTTATTCTTTTCCTATCAGTACAAACAATGATATTCGTTTACATATAGTTTACCATTTTTTTTATCACCATTTTCAGTCCGCAAAAAAGGACCAAGCGATAGTCGCCCATTTAGTGGCTTGAAAAGGGTAAAGCTTAATGCATGACATCTGGCAGAGACATTTTACCTTTTTTCATTATCACATATACCTGATTTAAATGCCAATCTCATTAATAATCAAAGCCAAATCTAGTTTCGGAACAAACCTTTCAACGATTCTTCAATGAAGTTTTACAAGGCCTAGACGCCATTTTCTCGTATACAACAACTAAAAGGGCGATTATGGTTGTGCCTTTATCAACATATGTAAATTGTTACTTCTTTTTTGTTTGCCAAAAGCGTGCACGAAGAAAATATTAGAATATTAAAACTCATTGAAAAACAAGCAACGAATCATACTGTTCTAATACACTTGTAAAGATAAACTGACGGCCCTTACAATAACCTCTCTAAAAAAGTACGGCTTATATCTTTGGTATTTATAGCATAGACTCTCTAAAAAACCTTTTACAACTACTATTAAAAATATGCAAACATTTCGTTCCAATAAACTGATCAGTCTTTTATATATAAATTGAGGATATTTCCTACAACATTCTTCTTATCCCTTAATACATGTTATAATAAAAATTTGTACATGTAAGTGTAGTATTAATATTGTCCATAAATAATGCTAATATTAATAGTAAACAACTATTCTTTTATATTTGCATGACAAAAATTCTTACCTTATGCTTGGGCTTTTACCATTTGACGAAGAGCCGCTATCGTCAACGCTTTGTCGGGGACTCTTCCTAATATTTGGTGAACCGTCGCCTTCTGCGGATCTGTTAGTTTCGTTTGAAATTGTATCGTCAAAACATTTGTTATGGCGTTCTGTTTCATTCGCCTTCTGAGCGAAAGCCACTGATCTGTCATTAATATCAATCTATGCCAGTACAAATATAAATACAATCAAAAATTAATTATAGTCACACGATTTTCACATTTTATATGTATTTTACTTCAGGTTCAAACAAATCTAATATCCCGTTAATGAGCTTCGCCGAATAAAACTAAGTTACTTATTTAAATTGCTATTCCCCATAGAACATACAATAAAAGTTCCATTGAATATATATATCGTAACGTTACCCTTGGTTATTATACATGTTTATTCTTTTCATTATTTATCGAAAATGTTAGAATAGCTAAATTTCCTTGACGGATTATCACGTAACTTTTAATGAACGTTTGCTCGTTCTATGTTTGCTTGTTCTATGCTTACTGAATTTAGGTAAGTAGAACAAATTTTTGAGTTCACAACTTTAACATTTTGGTAAATGATGGTGACATGATGGAAACACTTAATTTTTTGTCGGTGCAGGAATTGCCGAGTGAGTATTTTGGGATTTATCATGAGGAGTACCTTGCTTTATTAAGAATGCAAGCGCCAACAGTGATTTATATAACAAAATTTTCATATTTTCCATCGCAGCTAAAATCTTCAGATAAGATGTGGACTTTGCTGCAGATTAAGTTATCACCTGAGATGCCCGTTTGACATGAACATTGCTTTCTGAAAAAATAACACTGTCAAGAAGACATTAATTGTAGTAGGACGATTTATTATTTTCGTTTCCATTTTTTTAAAATTTAGACTGAATGTGACCAGAAGATCCCCTTCACCATTTTATCGTTGATAAATAATGCAAGGAGAGCTGCTTAGCTTATTAGTATTGTTCGCTTGTGTATTGTAAGCTCATGATTAAAGAAATTTTAATATTTTTTGAAGTCCCGGATGGAGCACTCGTTGCCTTAACTAGATTGGATGCCTTTACTGGATTCGCCGATGATAGATCCACAAGCTTTATAGTTGACTATGAGGAAACTTGGCGCCCAATGTGGACAGATGTGTGAGGTTAATGTGGAGCCGAAGGTGAAAGATCAAGGTGCGCTACAAGTAGCTCTTTTACAATGTGGCCGCTTTAAGTAACGACACTCATCGAACATTGCTTCAAGTTTTTCAAATTTTCAAAACAATGACGTGAATTCTTTCCTGATTTTCGAAAAACCTTTTTTCTATTCATAAAAAGCTTACAACAACACATATAATGCCCCTACAGTCGGAATAAGACCAAGTTAATCCCTTCGTGGGACGCAAAACTTCCTCTGCAGCTCGGCCAGTAATACCAGCACACTCACAAGCCCAGCAAGTAATGAATTGATTAGATTTATGGCCAATTTAGGCACGGCATGGTATAGGGAAATGCTTCATGCTAGAAAAAGGCAGACAAAATAGAAATTTTAGAAGAGAAGAAAAAGCAACAAAATTTAATTTAAGTGTTTACAATGGTTATTAAAACAGTACAAAAAGTTTTATTATTGAAACACTGTAACGGAGAGTAAGGTGTTAGTAGAAAGTGAACAGATAGTAATCTAACAATGGAGACAGTTAGAAAACAAGCAGTCAAGCCAAGCAGAAAACAGAAATAGAATAAGAAAGTAATGAAAAAGCATCGTAAACAACAGCCGATCTTCCAATCTTCAGCTCTAAACAAAATTTGTTTCATCGATTTGGACATCCACCAGGGTTCGATGACACTCACCAACTTAAAGCACTTGAAATATAAACTAAAATTAGCCATACAAAAAACACAAGAAAATGTACACAAGAACACCAGGTGTTGACCGCCATTAATATGGTGTTAGAACTTTAAGAACATTTCGATGTAAACAAATTACCAAGTTTCATTGATGAAAAACTAACTCTTCACAACTATTTAGGTTCTCTTACGTTTAATAACCAATTTAAACAATAAAATAAGGAAAAAATTTACAAAATTTATAAGAGCGAGAAAAATACGTGACCACAACCCGCGTGCAGAGTTGCTTATATTCTAAGAAAAAGTAGCATTATTTCGGCTTCGCTTTTCAACCATAAATTTTAAAAAGCTAAGCCGTCGATGCAAAAGTTTGGGTTACCGAGCGCTAATTCATGGGGAAATATACATTCTGATTGTTGTCCAAGCGAGCCTATCTATTTTTCTAATTCAAAAAGCTTTTGTCCATTCACATGCGATCTAATATGTCAAAATTACACGATTGTATTAATCATTTCAAAACAGTAGTAAATTTAGGGTGCGGTCATTTTCCAGTCATATTTGATCTTAACTTTAATACCGCCACGTCAAGTTTACTTATCATGATTATAACAAGAATGGGAAGAATTTCGCTTTATTACAAATATGTCTTTGAGACCGGTACTGTCTATAGAAAACATAAAAGTTACATATTGCTAGTTACTCAACAAAAACAAAGTTTTTAATGGTGCAAATATATCTACTCCCAGTTTAAGCCACACACAAATTTTCCTAAATTGCCTCGATATAACTTAAACTTAACTTAGGATCGCAATTTCCGTAGACGTCAGGGCATCGTATAGATGTACTTATTTTTAAGCGGTGCAACAAGATAAATCAAGAAAAAATCGGGCGATTCAAAACTAAGTTTGGACTATAAAAAATAAGCAAGCTGGAGCGAAGCCTCTCTGAAATGCTGCGAAAATTTTCCGGAAGAATATTATTTGATGGGAATAAAATCTTTGGTCTTTAATTTCGGCAAAAAAAAGAAGTACCAGGCTACAACATAAGTATCCACCGTACACACCACAAACCGCCACAAATCAAAAAGTCATGCGTCCAGGAATTAATCACTTTCACGGGACACACTGCAGACAATTACAAATAAACGAAAAAGGATATACCATTATTACCCCTAACGAAAGAGAAAGCGAAAGAACAAATAGTCAAAGTTGACGTAACTAAGTGGGTTGGCGTGATGGTATACCCTAAGCTGACCTGTACTCTACCGTATGGTCTCGATTAGAATGCATTTTTAATTGGAGGCTATGAGCTTAGTTGCCCAGCCTCCAAGCCACTTTCGTCTCATAAGTAAAATTTCGAACGCATTATTTTTATTAATTCATGATGTATTCTCAAAAAATATTTTAAATATTTATAATAAATCAACAACAAAGGAAAATTAAAAAAATGGTTGTCTAAATATTGTCTACATAATGTAAGCAGATAATATAATCACTTCCTCTAAAGATTCAAAGCCGCTAAAAATAACAAGTAAGAAAATTAAATTCCGTCGGGACCAAATCTTTCATACCCTGAGAGCACTCTTGCCCATTTCGTGGTGCTGCGGTGTGCTCAGCGGCACCAAGCTTATACTCAAAAGAATTTTATGTTTTAATTTGTTTATTCATTTTTCTTACTTTGCTTACAATAAAATAATTTCTCTATTCACTTTGCCATTTCGGAGCGGTCTCTCTCTTATTGTGTAATAATACGTTTTTGATATTTTGTTTAGTTAATCTTATCTCTTATTTTGAAACCTCAAATATCTTTGCTGATACTTCCGACAAAACTCCTCGACTGCTAATTCCCATTTATCAGCAAACTACCCATATCCGATATCGAATTTGGTTTCCATTCCCAATTTGGTTATTTCTGAAAATGACGTTTTTAAAGGGTTGAGCTCTCTACAATTTAGTTGTCCGTCTGGATCTGATGGAATTCCATCATGTGTACTTATCTTGTGCTGGCAAGCTATGCAGTGTTATCTCAAAGATTTTTAACAAGTCCTTGAATTTAGGTGCTCTCCCTTTGTGTTGGAAGACTTGTTTTCTTATTCATATTCACAAAAGCGGAAGTAGACAACTTGTTGACAACTACGGAGGCATAGCCAAGTTGAGTGTCTTGCTTAAGCTGTTCGAGCGAATTGTGAATCAGCATTTGGCCTTTGCCATTATTTCGTATGTTTCTTCACACCAACTTGCCTTTCGGAAAGTGGCTCTCGCACTGATGTAATACATACTGATTTAAGCACAGCATTTTACTTGGTTAACCATAACTTACTTATCTTTAAACTCCAAGGCTCTGGCTTCCCTTTCTATTTAGTGAAATGGATAAGATCTTATCTGCACAGCAGATCCTTCAGTGTTTTGTTCAACTTTATCACCTCGGATAAATTTCCCGTGATATCTACCCTACCTCAAGGCAACCAGTTAGATCCCGTTTTATTTAGTTTATACATTAATGATCTCCCATCGGTGATTAAATCCACCCCAGTTTTAATGTATGCTGATGATGTGAAACTGTCAGCTTCAAAGTGACTTGAATAATTTGGTTGCTTGGTGCTCGATGAATCTTCTGAAATTAAATGTAAATGTAAGAAGCTTTTTTTCTCAAGAAGAAAGTCATTCATTACTCAGTATTTCATTGATTCGCACAAGTTGGAGGACGTCGATTCGTTCACAGATGTGGGCGTTCTATTTGACTATAGGTTACGTTTCAATTTGCATTTTGAGCTCTCGTTAAGCAAAACTAGGTTTGCGCTTGGTTTTATAAAGAGGTGGTTCAAAGAGCTTGGTAATCCCTACATTACAAAAGGTTGTAATTGTGTTTGGTTAGACTCATACTCGAGTATGCCTCCGTTGTGTAGCCTCCTTCATATAGGTAGATTAAATTGAACCTGTTCAAAAACAAACCCTTGCTGTTTGCCCTTAGGAATTTCGGTTGGGAACCGATTGCCTCCTTTCCTCCCTATGAAAATAGGTTGCTCCTATTATCCTTACCGTCACTTGAGAAATGTAGATTTATTCTTGACGTTTCCTTTGTAATCAAAGTAATAAATAGTACTATTGACTCGCCTGCATTACTTGGTGAGATAAGCTTTAATGTTCTTAACCGCTTCTTTAGGTACTTTATCTTGATTAAGCTTAGTCAACGTAAATATAATTATGAGCTGTTTAACCCGCTCAGAGTTGTTTGCAGAAACCTAAAAAGTCCATTAAAGCAACATTACTTAATACGCGCTATTTACCTATGTTACATTTAAACCGGCTTTTAACTTTAATGAGTCATTATAATTCGAAAATTA